GCGGAAGGAGCAAAGCTATCGAGAGATGAGAAGAAGGAATGAAAGAGAAAAGATGAAGAGCGAGATCAAACGAGACAAGAGAAGTTAGGTCAACTACCTTTCCATCACAAAAGAGGATCTGATGTCTGGAAAAGGCAGACAATGGACTCTAATCAACAATGAGAGAGGGATTTCTACTTTAAAGAAAAAGACTGAAGTTGACTGAAGGGGTCAGTCAGCCGCAGAGACTGATGTAGAGTTGGGACCACTTGGTGATTTATTAAAAGTTTGATTGAGCTTTTGGAAAGAGGAAACAGCTTTCATTCAACTGTCCAAATTGCAGAACCAGCGGTACGAAAACACAACGACAATTCTGTTTTTTCACAATTTGGGTTTATTATAGTAACAGTTTTTTGCTCACCGATGCAATGACCAATGAATCGGCTGAGCTTTTTTCAAAGATATTGGTCACTTTTTAAAGGTCGATCAATAAGTAATAAGACATTATGCCAAACATTTCTTAAAGGTCAAATAAAAATAGCATCAACATTAAAAAATATATATATTATATTCATTTACCAGAAAAAAACTGACAACCTGATATTCATAGTCTTTATCCCATTTTCCCAGCTTTTGGATCCAATCTCACTAACCATAATAAGTGGGTGGGGCTTACCTACTGGTCATCAACATCATATGTCCCAGGTCAATGTAAGCTACTGTAGGTATACCCTACAGTGTGTGAGGGTTGTGACATGGACTGCATTATAAACTACTTTTCCAGTCTTTGCAACCCCTCAAAGCACGTTTACAAGTCAGCATTCAGCCATTCACACAGACGCAGAGGCTACCATGCTAGATGCTACCTGCTCAGTGGGACTAACAAACACTCACACACCGCTGGTCACACCATCAGGAGCAACTTGGGGTTAAGTATCTTGCTCAAGGACCTCGACACTTTGGGCTGGGGATCGCACCAGCAACTTCCTGATTGGTGGACAACCACTCTACCTCCTGAGCCACAGCCGCCCGCCATATAGAGTCTGCCAGTCACATGACCCTCGTCTTGCATGTCATAAGGGTCCTTGTTACGTGTTCTGCTGGATGGACTCGACTAAATCTTTCATTGTGCAAAGGACCGGGTTGTCTGGAGTTTTTGATCTGTCCTTCTAACTTAGAGGGATAACACATTTCTCTTGAGAGAAAGAATTTGGCTCAACCGTACAAACCACATTTATATCAGTTAGACATTCGATCAAAGTGCGAGTTACACTTACAAGAGCTTTGTGCCTGACACATATCCATAAATCATCCATCCTCATCACTTTCCAAAGTTTAGACAAGGGGTATTTGTTTTTTTTCCTTTGGTTACATTTTTGCTTTAGATGGAAAACAACAAAGTCTTATCTTATTTAAGAACCCGATGATCGAATACATGTGTGTAGCTCTGCAGTATAATTAAATCTGTGAGCTCATGTTGTTGTTAGGGTGCATGCTCTTTCAAAAAGAACCACAGTCCACTGGTCAGCAGCCAGCAGGCAGCCGGATGGTCAACAGTCAGAGAAACAGTGTGTCACTTCCAGGAAAGAGCTGACCACCAAGCCGGCTCTCTGCCCAACTGTGGCCTTGAATTCGGTCTGCTGCTGTTGGGACCCGAGGAACAAAGACACATACGCCTGAAAACATTTGCAAACTAAATAACTACCTTTCACCCCAACCGCAAATTCTATATCATGAGACAAGAAGTGAAAACACCCAGAAGTAAAACATAGATGGAGGTGCCAAAGTTAGTCAGAAATGATCCCTGTACAGTAGGAAAGGGCTGTGAAACCTCAACAGATAATGCATGTGTGACTATGGACGAGGAAAGTGTGACCAAAGCTTTAACAAGCAGCAAAACAGAGTCAAAACAGAGAGCCATCTGCAGAGATAACTGATGGAGATACACTTATATTATTTTATAGTTTAACATTTGTTTTCTTGCCGTTTTTGTTGTTTATGCTTTTATTTGGAAGGCAGCTTTGGGCACTGGGTTATTGGGTTATTCATAGGAGCCAGGCGGAGGTGGGATTAGCGCACCAGAGTGGGCATATTGTTTATTTACCAGGGAACAAAAGGATATTCTTGCTTAGACATTTGATCAGCCCCTGTATAAGATTAGCTATCGGATGACTCAGCAGCAGCTTTATTTTTAAGTAAATGTTCTGCTTTATTTATGATTTATTCGTCACAATAACATTTAAGTAAACAAAACCAATAAGGACAACTGCGATGATGTGCAAATAAAAATATGTAGACAGCAACTAATAACTGCTTTTTTAGGCTTTGTTAAGGGCTCAAGTCTATTAAACAAAATGTATATTGTGATAAAAGTACATATAACGTATATACCGTATAATACTGTTTGTAAAATATTGATATGTTCACATACACAAAGACTAGGTGTCCACTTGTTAGGCATCTGATACACAACATCTACAGCACTCATGAATGCTCCTTTCTTAAATGTTGAGTCCCTATTAATGCACTCTGCTGCTAACTACTTCCTCCATTATCAGCACAGAGTAACCACAGCTTTCTCCATTCCTCTCTGATCTTTTATGGCTCTTTTTTCTGGGACAAAAAAAAGGAGGGACAGAGGGAAAAGATGAATGGGAATTCAAACGTAGCTCAAAGGTCTACCGTTTGTACCGCGGCTCTCTGTAGTGAGAGAGGGTCACTTTGACCTGCCGGGGTGAGTGTACGGTGAAGAGAGAGAGAGATAGAGAGACGTCGAGATACAGGAAGATAGAGAGAGGGGTGACATCGGGGCGAAGAGGCGGCTCACACTTTCATCTGCCCGCCGCGGGTTTTAAACCACCACACCTCTGAGTGAAGGTGTGAGTGAGTGTGAGTGTGAGTGTTTGTCTGTTATGAACACGTGTGTGAATTAAAACTGAAAAGACGAGAGAAGCTTGAGCTTTGATGTGTCTCATTCACACCGACCAAACACTCAAATGAAAATGCGCACAAATGAAGAGTATAAGTAAGACTGTGTGTGTGTGTGTGTGTGTGTGTGTGTGTGTGTGTGTGTGTGTGTGTGTGTGTGTGTGTGTGTGTGTGTGTGTGTGTGTGTGTGTGTGTGTGTGTGTGTGTGTGTGTGTGTGTGTGGTGTGTGTGTGTGTGTGTGTGTGTGTGTGTGTGTGTGTGTGTGTGTGTGTGTGTGTGTGTCTGAGGCTGGGGGGTGATGGGGCTTCAGGGTCTTCAAACAAACACTAACCGTTTCCTTCAAAAGGAATCAAAAACGCATCAGGTCCCATGTGTAATTAGTTGAATACATTTCACATTTTGATGTTAAATAACCAATCACTGGATATGTATGGCTGGACGTAGCATGCATATGCAGAGGGCAGACTTGAATGAAGTTCAAAGAGAAACTAAAGTAGCATACAGAACATCAAGAGATCGTGTTTATACTAGTGGCTTCATATATGAATAATACCATATATGCATTAAGATAAACAACAGAACATGAAGGCTTTTGATGAATTATAGGGGTTTCCTGGCCAATAGGAGCCTTAACCTGGCCATCTACGGTCTTTAGACCCATAAGCAACTTTGCATAGTATTTCAAATCTGCATATACATTCATAATTACAATAAATATGAAATGTGACAAGCTGCATCATACAATTATAGCAGATGGGATACACTAACTAACAAATAATGATTATTTTTGTTGTTGAATCATAAGGTTGATTATTTTCATTTCAATATTAAAATAGAAAATGGACGCAATAAGTTCCCAAAGTTGAGGTTAAAGCCACAGCCCTAAAAGTATTTAATTTAGAATCATATCAAAAAGAGAGAAGCAGCAATTCTCCACAGTTGAGATAGATTGTCAGTTTTGGTCGATACATAACCAATTAGTTGTTTTAGCAATGCCAAGCTGGTATATTACATTTCACTGCCCCTATATATTACAAAACATCTTTTTCACTCCTCTCACTCCCCTCCTGAAAAAGTGCCATCGATGTCAAAGTGTTTAGCTCAGAATAATCAAGGTTTTATTTGAAACATGAGCCACATCTAAAAAAAAACAGCTGTCCTGTTACCGAGGTGAGAGCCAGGGGAGAGCAGAGAATAAAAAAGAGAGAGAGATATTATCCACAGTTAAAGTGAACATTTGTATTTGAATGCTGGTAAAAGTGAAATGTAAAGATGAGATTCTATACATTTATAAAAACACAATTACTCTTACAATAACTAGTGGACTTAAATGACATTTTAATGCCTTGAATGGAGATGGTGTAAAAGCCTTTTTTCAGGACCTGCTAAGTAACACTGCAGGAGACTAAGAAGGGATACAGTCAAATAAATGAGCGGGGGGGGGATAAAGGGAGACAAAAAGAAGGAAAAGCTGTGAGTCTGAATGAAGTGTTGAAAGGGAAAAGAAAGAAAGGGAGGAAAAGAAGGGAAATAAACGGATTGAGAGAGCAGAGGTGTGCTCTGTATAGAAAATGGACGTATCCAGCTGTCCCTCCCATCCAGCTCTACCGCGAAACCCTTCAATCAAACAACCACGATCAAGCCTGACCACTGTAGCATCCCCAGGCCGCTTTCATTCGCTCTCATTCATTCATTCATTCATCCATTTTTCCTCTCCTCCGGTGCTTTAAGCCTGCCAATTATCATCAGTTGCCCCCAGACGGCCTCTGTCCTTGTTCCCGTTTCAGCTGGCCTTTCAAACAGCCCCTGCATTAATAAGCCAGTTGTTACAAATAAAAAAGGGAGGTGAGCGGTGATTATTCAAAGCCCTCCTAAAAGAGAGAGAGGAAGCCCTCGTTTCACACCCAGGGAGAGTAAACGCACCGCCTGCCATTTATGGGGCAGTACAAGAGCCTGGTATGGAAACTAACAGTCATTATAATAAAGAGAGAGAGGCTGTAATGGCTCAGGACGTTCAAATGGTCTAACTAGAAAACCCACAGAATACCTGACCGACAGGAATAGGTACATGTATTTTCAAAGAGGAAGCATTTTTCTGTTCAACAGGATACAAATAATAATAAACCACTTCAACCCAATTAAATGTTGTCAATGTAACAAAAACGACAAAGAGGTTGACAAAAGGGAATTTGTTTTCCTTCTGTATTCATCCGCTGAAGAGGGACGTTGCTTTGAGTTTAACACCTGGACACAGCGGGGGTTTTCGGCTGATTTCGGAGCCAATCGTGGTTTGTTATGCAAAAGGTGTTGTCGAAACTTGAAGCCTTCATTCTACCTGCACTATCTACAGTTAGAAAACAAGCCCAGGTTGAAAAAGTATCTATATACCATTACTGGGGAGCCAGTTAGGGAATGAGTCTCGAGGATTGTCTGTTCACATTTTTAACCTTTTTGGGTAAAATTGTGTCTGAAGCATAAAATTAAACTGCACACAACAACCTCATTAGGACCTCAGAAGAAGTGTTATCTTTTCATACAGTGTGTGAGTGTGTGTGGGTCATTTACCTGCACACCTGAAGCTCTGAGCAGTCAGGCCCTTCTCCACAGCCAGACAGGTGAGGATACTGAGGAAGCTGGTGGTGACGGACTGCCTCTTGGCTCTCTGGGCCTCCCGCTGCCTCCGCTCCCTGGTTGGTTTGGATCTCAGCAGAACTCCCTGGAGGGCTGGAGCTCCTTCTCCTGATTCTCCCCCTTCCTCCTGGGCAGGCCTCTGCGCTGCCACCGCCTCCCGCAGGGCCTCCACCCACTCCTGGGCCTTGGGCTTATCGTCCGCCCGAAGCCTGAGTACGTCTTTTGGGAAAACGACCTGGAAGCGGCCCCCTCTGTCTGTCCACGGCTCTCCGGTCTCTGGCTCCTGGTCGTTCTGCACAGCCAAGCAGGAGGACAGGGTGTACTGGAGGACAGGCTTGGAGACAGACCCTCGGCCCTCGGTAGGGAAAGCCCTGAGCGTGGATCTGGTCAGGACGAAGGTGAAGGCTCTCCAGTTGTTCTGATCCATCAGCTTGTGGAGCAGGCCAGATTTGAGGACGTCCTGGCAGCGTTGGGTGAACAGAGGCAGGGTGGTGGGTCTGCTCGGGACAGTAGACTCGAGAGAGTGCGACGCCTCTGATGAGGAGGGGGTGTCGCTGTCTCCGTCGGGCCTGGTGTCGAGCCCTGACGACGAGGACGGTGACATGGGCGCAGAAAACTTGACGACCTGTTGCTTCTCCGCTGCGCTCTTACGCTGGTGGTTCTCCTTCCTCGCGGGTCGGACCGCCTGCACCCTGTCCCACATCAGCCGTCTCCACTCCACGGCCTCCCATTGGCTGGCCGCCCTCAGCTGGAGACGCGTGCTGTTGAAGAACAAAGCCTGGAGCGTGCGAGGGTCTGCGGGCTGGGGGATCTGCCCGGCCACGCTGCAGGGTGCCGGGGAGATGATGCTCTGGCAGTGGGACAGAGAGCAGGCGGTGCCCAGCTGGCGGTTGGCGCTGCTGTCCAGGGTGTAGATCCGCAGCTCGCAGGGCGTCAGCTCCACGTGGCAGCGAGTCCAGCGACCCCGCGGACCCTCACGCTGCTCCATCTCCCCCTGCTTCACCACTTTGCTGCTGCTGCTGCTTTTATCAGCTGCACAGAGGTGAGGAGGAAGAAACAGAAACAGGGGGTAATAAGACACAGAAGAAAATTGTGTTTGTTCAAGATGACCACAAAATGGATAACCATTTTACCATTATACCATTATATATTACTGTCATAACTTCTCACTGGAAGTGCATCTTTAGCAAGGAAGACCAGTTAGTGCACACAATGTCTTGTTTTTCATTACTGCACATATGTTATTCCAATTCTATTCTGCTCAAAGACACTGCTATATCTTTTAATGTTATTATAGTTTTCTTAAAATAGTTTTCTATCTGTGTTTTTAATTGTTGTTTTATTTGTATGTATGTTTATGCATGCACCACAACATCAAATTCCTTGTATGTGTTAACCTACCTGGTATCAAACCTGATTCTGATTACAGGCTTTTTACAAATACTCTTAAAGGTTTGTTTCCATCCAGGATGTGATTACTTTTTGGGTAACTATTGTTTTTTCATCCACATTCAAATCAAATTGGTTAAATAAGCCACTCAGGAAATACATTTGATAGCGTAGAAGACACTTCCCTATAAACTAAGACAATGGTTAAGTGTCTCTCCTCAGATTTCCATCAGGAGTTGTAGTTACTTTGTTTGTCTAAAAGACTCAGGTTTCTTTGGTTATGTTGACACGGCTTGTAGAGTAACACCGTATGCTGCTCGTGATTCTGGAGCCCAGTCTATTTACTGCCAGCTTTGCACTTACGACCATGACTCCCCTGGCACCTGAAGGCATCATGACCCAGAGTCAGGACCCAGAGAGACTGCAACCTGGACAAAGGTTCACAAGTCTCACAAAACTGTCCTGTAAATCCAACAAATCACAGCCAGAACTTTGGAAGAGGGATATTGGTTTTTGCTGAAAATACGTTTTTATACGATGGAGTCTGGAGTATCTATAGCTTGAACTCAAGTACCTAATTAGGTTACTGTGGATTATGAGACAGCAAGACTGAAACCATAACACTGAAAGGCATCTTTTGTCCTCGTTTGCCTTTGCAGCTTTTTCCACTCAGCATCCCTAAATCCTCAGGCGTCTGATGGATATCTGTCTAGATGGGCCAGCTTCCTACACAAGGGTCTTTATCTGAAGCTCGCGCCTCGGACAGAGCGTTGGTATTATGGTAAGAGATAGCGGCGTGATGGTGAGTCTCTGAGAACATTTCTTGTCGCCAAGGCAGGAAGAAGCAGTATTGTTAAGGAGGCCACAAGGCAAACTGTCCCATTGTCTTAATCTAGAGACACACCCTCTCACCAGTTTGTTCTTTTCTCTCCTTTTTTCCATAGTTTGCTGTTCAGGACGTTTGTTTTACTCTCATTTATGTATTTCCTCTCTCTGTATACTCTTGTGATTGTGGAGTGTTTTCTCTCTGATTAAGGAGACTTCAGACAACAGCCGGGACCTCTGCTAGGACATCAAACCAAACTGTATTACTATGCTCTGCTGCATCCACTGGCCTGCTCAAAATGATGCTTGTAAAACTGGACAAATGCCAGTAGAGATGTAATTAACAATTATTTCATTATTGATTGATCTGCAGGAACATTTGTAGATTCATTTGGCCTATGAAATGTCAAAGAGGTGGAAATATCCTGTGATTACTGAAGGATTTAATCTAAAGATCTATCACATTTAGATATAGATATTTCAACTTTACATCAGTGTACCCCTCACCCCGTACATATTAATTAATACACTTTGCAATTGACTTCAAATCTATAATCTAAATCCATTCTACATAATAATGCAACCTATAGAACGTGTATTTGTGTAACTTGCTTTTGCATATCCTCCATCATATTTGCCTAGTTATACTGTATACGTTCTTTGGTTGCCCAAAACTTTCAAACAATTCAGTCTCAGTTTTTCAAACTGGGGGGGGGTTGAGGTGACGTGCAACAACATTAACCTTTCTGTTGGTCGCTTGTTAGCAGACCCTTCACGCAATGGCAGAGCGAACAGGTACAGACAGGGCCCATAGTGATAGCCCTATAGTTTCAATCTAATACACACAAATAAACATATGGACATGGGTTACTATTTAAAAAAAAAAAATTGTAAATGTATTTAGGAACCTATTAATTTGATTTTAAGTGGGGGTGGACCTCAAATCCTCTAGGGGGGTCCGGGGGCATGCTCAGTTAAATGAGGGGGAAATAAAGAGACTAGATCTAAGGAAACACCCATATGAAACAGAACTGTATACATTTCAATAATCATAAGAACATGGCCATAACCAATAACATCCCATATCCAATATGAAAAAACACTGAAACTTGTTTATTTATTTTTGGTTCATTTATAGCTGAGTGTGTCTGTGCTCCTGAATCAGCCTCTCCTGTCTCCCTCCTCTCCCCCTGCTCCTCTTTGAGGCAGCAGCAAAGACTAGTTTTAGCTCTCAACAAGTTTTAAAAGTGTATCTTACCTTTTTTCACCTACTTAACTTTTTTATTCATGCATATTTTACTAATCACTACAATCTCAAATGGAAATAAGTGTTTACATAAATAGTGACCACACCGTTTGAGACCCACTGAGAACTTAGACTAAGTTAACTATCTAAAAACACTCAGAGAGTCCTTGACCTCACCTGAGCTGAGGTTATCCTGAGCTTGAATGACACAGAGACCAATCGAGGGCTTTGATTTATGATCTGTATGACAGTGGCCATGTCGGCAGGCCACATCATGTGGACAGCCTGTGTGAGGCAGGCCACTTAACAGGCCAGGCCATCGGGAAACCCCCCGGTCCTCCCGATGGCCAGTACGGGACTGGGTACAGGAGGCGTAGAGCGAGGGATCATTGTCCACAAGTTAATCGATCGCAGATGGCTTAAAAAGGTTCGCGGAATATACTTGGGCGGCCGTTAATATACCTGGGCGGCCCGCCCAAGTATAGTCTATGTGTGGGAAACCCTGCATCTACATGTATGCTCTTTTTGAAGTTCATATAAAGGTCAACATGAAGTTTAGCAATGATTGTGTGTCAGATTTCAGAAGAGTTTCGTAAAAGCAAACATTACAGCATGCCAGTGGCCTGTGGATGAATATTTGTGAACATCAGCCATCCTTCACTGATTTAACCACACAGCGTTTCACCTCATAAAGGAAACCCAACACTGGACAAATATTTCCTCATTCTGGACCGTTTTTATTTTTGTTTTAATCCCAGCCCGCTGTATCTGCTGTCTGAAAGAGGAAGAGAGCGAAGCAGCTGCAACAACTACCTAGATTATGAAAAATGAATCTTTAGAACGATAGAGAGGGCAGCAATGAGTGTAAACATCTAAAATACTGAAAGCAGATTAAGTTATTTGTTTTTAAAGTGAGTTTTTTTTAGATGTGAATTAAAAATGTAACCCATATTTGATCTATGTTTCATGCATGCCTTTAGGAGCAGTTCCACATTGACTGACATCATGTTGAAACAATGCATATGCTACCTAGAAATACAAAATAAAACTTTTCAGCCAAATTCAATCCAGTTTTAACCTTAATATATTCACTTCTTTTAGTGTGGTAGCTTTACTTAAAAACATCAACAATCCCCTTCCCCTCAACCAATCCCACAAACTGATTTAATTGTGAACCCCCACAGGAGCAGACTAATTGGCAGATATTGCATTTTGTTTCTTTAACGTGCGAAATCGCTCAAGGAGGGGAGAGCAAAAAGCTAAATCCTTCACAGCTCCGGTGGCGAGTCAAGTGCCTCATCAATCTTATCAAAACAGCAGTGGACATGGTGTCACTGACTTTGCATGCTAACAAACCTTTTTGCTAAAGGAACACATGAATATGCAAATAAGTTTTTAGCTGGAATCAAGACTGGCTGATTGGCAGTCTTTACGCTTGGGAGGGTCGAGATGAGAATTAGGCATCGTGGCGAGGAGAACTGCTCGGTTCAATTAGCCTTCATCTCCACCTGGTGGGTTTTCACATCACACTAATAGTAACAGTCTAATAAACACATACAGCCTTCAACCAGCATTAACACGTTTCTCTCAGGGCTGCACACTAACTATCCAGCAGTGCTGCCCTCAGGTCAATCAAACCTCCTTAAACAAGCAACCTTACCCACTGATAAGGTAGCAAATCATCCTAGTACATGTCGCTTTGCAAATTAACAGACGCCAACGGCTTCCTGGATACAAATGCACACACAGACTGCAAATGAAAAAGCAGAAAGCACCTGCAGAGGTCCACTCTAAAACATAGTGCTTATAATGATCAGGGGTAAAGCTATCCCAGCATGCACTAGGGGAGAGGTTTTGTAGGGTCAAGCACTAGACAGGTCTCAAGTTCTTCAAACAACTACTCGCATCTACGGGTACGTTTAGAGACATATCCATATGTAAGTTATACATTTACATCCAATAACTAACTGCTTATAAAAGTTACTTGTCACCTGTCATTCAACTCTTTACTCCAGATGCAGGTTCCTATAACAATGGCTGCAAGCACAAGCTGTTTCCTTCCGTTGCCTTTGAGCTTTAATGAGTATAAAAGGATTGACGAATGCTTGCAACGTAATATGCTACCAAAAATAGACCAATTATTCTACGAAAAAAACAAATGCGGTGGGCAATGTTAGAAGACATAGGAGCTTTGATAAAAGCTACAGCCAGTGTGTTTGGTCCCATAAATACATGTATATTGTGTATATAATAATGATCATCATTTCCATTTCCCATCTAAACATCCCCAGCTGTCACTAATGGAAAGACATGGCCGAGTTAAATCACTCTGCTTATTACCGGCCTTTTCCTACTTCTCTCCTTTCAACGCACATCGAGGCAAACTAAATAGCCTGATGCCTTTTCACACATATGCTAATACTAAATAATCCTGCCAGTATCAGGGGCCGGGTAATTGGGTTGCCTCTTCTCTCGCCTCATTTGAGTCCATTTGCTGACAGGATTACAGGCTATTATCCCTCAGGATCGCTTAGGATCTCCTTAGGCCTTCAGATGGCCAAAACACACAAACAAGTGTGTGTGTGTGTGTGTGTGTGTGTGTGTGTGTGTGTGTGTGTGTGTGTGTGTGTGTGTGTGTGTGTGTGTGTGTGTGTGTGTGTGTGTGTGTGTGTGTGTGTGTGTGTGTGTGTGTGTGTTGGGCTCTCTGTCTGAACACTGACTCTGTCATAGCACAGCTGTGTCATTTCAAGTTATCATCATCTTCTATCATTATTGCTTTCTCCGAGGATGCTTCAACATAAGTACAGCATACGCCCCGGTCTGCAGCACAGATAGTCCGAGACTTCTGTCCTCTGAAAGGCCCTTAAAAAGGCTGAGAGAGCTTTCTGCTGAATGGACGGTCGATCAGAGTGAAGGAGGAGGGGGTGGAGGGGGAGGAGGTGTGTATGTCTCGGACAGGTAGGGACCAGACTGTTGGTCAGCAGAGGAAATCTCATCGTCTTCACATTCAAAGCAAAGACGGCTCTCCATGTGACAAATGCCCAATTAGGTCAATCCTGAAAGGGTCAGCTCACCCAAATGTAGAACCATGTAATTGTCCATTTAGCTTTGAGGATAGAGGTTACCTTTCTCAATGGAGGTCAATTGTGTTAATTGTGCAAGATGTGTCCTCAGTTGCTTTGACTAACCAATAGATACACTCAGTGTAATCGGGTTGGGTAAGGTCTTGTTTTACTGCCATGGTCAAAATATCTGACATGTGCAGGTATTCAGTATCAGCTCCGATAACATGGTACATTAAAAACATCACCAGAGAAGATATTGTGACAATGGGTGCTATGAAATGACCTTTTCTATGGTCCAAAAAAGGGTTTGTCTGTTTTTGTCAGCTAATATTTCTTGAGCAAAAAATTACAAGCTTATTTTGATTGATTTTTCCATTTCGATTGAACACGACATAAAGACAGGTCAAAAATATTCTCCCTGGTTAACCAATTTACTTTTCAAAGTTGACATCCAAATTCCAACATTTTCTACATGTCAATACTAATCAAGAGACCTAACTGTTAAAAGCTTGTTTCTATTTGCTTTAATATCAAATTCTTTACAATCGGCAGAGCCAATGTGCATTCCAATTAATATAGCCCACAAATACACATTTTTGGAAAGCGAAAAAAAAACATATTCATAAAAGCTACCTTCTTCATGATATCACAGTGTGTAAACTCACCCTCTGGCTGGTGATTGAGGATCATGTTCTTCAGAGTGTTGCAGTCCACAGTGGGCAGTCCGTTGTCCGTGTATACAGACGGTCGGTAGTTGACGTCCGATCTGGACCGGTTGTGTCCCTTCTTGAAGGCCGAGTTGGACGAGGAGTTTGCGGTGTTGTGGGTGCACTCCTTGCTTTGGGCTGCCAGGTCGTTGGTGGAGCGTGCTCGGCTTCTCTTGCCGTGCCTCAAGCCCACCCCCAGCCCCAACACGGTGAAGTTGTCGGCCCAGGCCAGGCCCAGGGGTCCCACCTCCGCTTGCTCTCTGGCCAGCAGACCCCACACGCCACTGGAGCTCAGCTTCCCCCGAGCGGCACTGGACCCTTCCTGCAGCTGCTTGGGCTGCAGGGTCCCGGTCTGAGCCTGACTCGGACCTTGGCCTTGCATCCCACCCATGCAGTGGATAAATTCCTCAGTGGCCTCTAGAGCCGGGCTGATATCGCCCACCATGTCAAGCTGCTCAAGACCCTCCATGGCTGGGCCCCTGAGCTACAAGTCCCACAGCTAGATGGTTTTACAAACTGGAGACCAAATTCCTGTTAGCAACATCCACATGTCCAACAGACCAAACTGACTGTCAGCTGGTCTCATGCAGGCTAAGAGATGGGGGGGGGGATCCAACCAGCCCTCAGGCTTCACAAACTGCTTCCGAAGCCAAGTCCTGCTCTCCTCCTCAAGACAGGGCCTTCAGGGTGACAGTCTATGCTTCCTCAGTGTGCCTCTGGGTCTAGGCGGAGAGTCGACTGCCTCTCTGGGGAAAGCTACTGAGGCTTCCTGCCAGAGCCTGGGATTCCCCGAAATCAAGCCAATTTGGGTGAGAAACGCCGTTATTTAGCCAGATAAAAACACTTAGGGCAGACAAACATTGAATTCCCTCCACACATACTGAACTGATCAGGGGAAGTTATTTTGGCCGGCCAGGTGGCTGTGCAGTCATCAGATGGTGACTGTTTGTGGACTCACTGTAACACACAGAAGAGAGACAGAGGAAATGGTTAAGAGGAAGCATGCCGAACAATAAAATGGAAACACAGCTGACAGTGAGAATACTTAAATGACATATAAAACGACTCGTTCTCAAAGCGCTTTCTTCAAAACTATAAACAGAGGCTTTAGCCACAAAAGATAAACAAAGGATACTGAACCCTCTAGTTTAAAAACTCAAAGAATTAAACTACTGACCCACCTACAATATCTTCATCACACCGGGGCTTCACAGATTGTTCCTCAGCAAATAGAAACGATCATCCCCCCCCAAAATGTCCTGATGAAATAATACTTGACTTCCTTCTCGGCTGCTTATCACCGGACTGACCAGCGGAGAGGAAGCAGGCCAGGGTGGGGTTACCATCCATCTGCCTGTCTCTTCTGATTCTCTCCACTCATCCGTCTCTCTCGTGCCCGCTCTCAAATCCTCTTTCTTTTACCATTTGTGCTCTCTCGTCTTTATTGATTTTCTTCTCCTCCACAGCGCGGCCTCTTTTACTTTTCTCTACATATGAATTATTTAAAGGCCATTACATCACTGCAGTTCAATGGCTAGCTTCGCCGGGCGTTACACATTGAATACTCACCATTCATCCATGATGATTTGTTACAAAGGAAGATATTATCGTAGATATCGATGCGATTTGAATTGTCTTTATTAGATTTATTTAAAATGTTATTTTAAAATGTACTTATATGCATTATGCTTACAAAAGTACGATACCATATCATACACCCGTTGATAGTACCATGAAAATATGTAGTGGTAAACAGTTCCAGCTTTAAAGTGAAACTGCTGACTCAATTGTTTGCTATTTCCCCAATTTCACTCAATCATTTCTGTTGAAATTCACCTTCAATCTAAAAGTATATACCGCATATAATGACATCAATGATACAACTACAAAATGTAAACTAGATAAAACTGCAATGCCATAAAAATGCAGTACGTAGGTAAATGTATGTAAGGATAATAAAGTTGTCTAAGCTCTGTTAATTTTTAATATATGCTATTTATTCTTGTGAATTATAAAACACTGTTTTTTACAGCATATTTTTAAGGAAATCTTAAAACAGTATATATTTGAACAGCCTGTATACTCATATATATACCAGCATGTTTTCCATGCCATCATCTGCTTGTAGATAAAGCTCTGATCTGAACATCGTCATCGTGTTACTCATCGAGCTCGCCACTGAACTGTTGACTCACACATGCTGTCAAGCCAATACAGCAAACATTAGCTGGAAGAGCACAGATTACAATACTCTTCAGAGATGAAGTAAACTGAAGAATAAAGCAGAAAGGAATACTCTTTCAAATGTTTTTTTGTTGTTGTTAATATAATAATGCTAAAATATGATAATGGGTATGTGTTTATCAAAAGGATAACAGTCTTGAAAACAATACTGAATGCATGAAGTGCTGATTTGTTAGATTGTGTTATCACGAGTATGTTACTTTGGCTTGAACTGAAATTTTGTTTCACTATTATATATAAATAATATTTATATATATTGATTGATTATTCGAAATAATCCACTTGGCCAAAGATGCAAACACATTCAAAGAGTTTGTCTCATTTTGCTTTAGCACAGAAAAACAGACTAAACAAACAGCTATAAATCAACCAAATGGAACAAAGATGGGAAAAACTAAACATATGATATACACAAGAGTAGAATGTACACAAAATTGTAAATGATAATGTCAACATATAAGTCAAGCGTTTCTGTAAATCGTAAACAACACAAATAGTAACACTAACTAAATATTGAATTCATTAATATCAAGTCAGTGGATACATCATCTTTAATTCCTGAAGAAATATTACACAATGATTCTACTGACGTTTAATAATTGTGTTTGTCTCTCTTCTGCAAACAGCCACAGTCAGCATCTCAGCAGTAAACACACAGAGGTGAAGCCACGGTCAGCCTTTCCGGTAGCTAAATTAACCTGCTACGTGAGTTAGCTCTCTAATATGTCCTGTTTTTCACGACACACAGGACTTATAAAGCAACATATATATAAAAGACTAACTCCTCTGAAGCTGGCTGTTTTTATCCCCAGCTATGTCATGGGAGCCTAGGCTAGTTAGCTAGCAGCTAACGCTAGCCTCTCTCTCCATCCTTGATCAATGTCACATTAAAAACACTTAAATCTGTCCACTCTCTCAAATCTGAACCATAATATGTCAGTGGATCTGCACTGGTATTGAGGTGAAACTGGTGCCATAAACAAACAGTAAAACATAAATCAAGACTCACCTTACTGTGTTTACCACTATGTCATTTTGACAGTCCGTCAGTGATATAGTCCCCTGAATGCAACTGCAGCTGCGGCATAAAGGTTCCGTTTAATGTTTGAACACAATATGAAGATTATCCAATGTTATTGATTTATTACATACTTCAAGTATAGTACATTATAGGATAGCCTACTTATGAACTAATACAGAAAAGTCCAGTCAATAGTGATAATTTAGTTAATTATCTCAACTCATGACACTATCTCATGTGTGTACTCATTCTGGAATCAGGTCACATAAACATGTAACATGTTTAATTTCCCTTTAAAATTATACTTTTCTATTTAGTTAACACAATGGAAAGTACAACACAGTACAATAATAATGCACCTCAATAGTTACTCCAACCTATACAATCACACAACAACAACCAACCTCAGCACCCTTGTCACATGTCATTTCATAATGTGTGTAGTCATCACAGTGGGGCATACTGATATTTGGCTTTATTGATTTATAGCAATTCTTCAAATTATAATACCTTTTTTTCTATGATTGTATTTGTAACACTAAGCCATTTATGTGTTGTTGCTGTTCTATCTCACCACTTGTTTTACGTCTTTCACTATCATGTGGTATGTGTTAAGGTCATTTACTTAAATACAGGGCATTTCCATCATTTTCATTATTTTAAAATGGGATACAAATCACTAAAAGGCATGACCAACAACACAGTTGATAGCAGGGGGTGGTGCATTTATTTAGTCTCACAAAGAAAGGTTGTGACACACGTCTTCAGAGTAGAATCTGAAAAAGATGGGGAAAGGACCGGAGAGTGGAGGACAAAGCAAAGGTGGAGAATAGTTTCCCCCTAATGGGCAGCTTGAAGCTGCCCCCAAACCCAAAGAGTCAGTCCAGCAGAGAGAAGCATCATTCAGAGGAAAGCAGTGATTCTTCTCAAACAGGGCTGAATCGATATGTTTAAATAAAAGAGGTTTTTATTAAAACCATATTTGTGAATCAATATTTTCCACCTCCAGCAAGACATGGAGGATTGTAAGATATGTATGAAAACTGTTTGCAGGTAGGATGTATACTTCATTGGCTGAGAAAAGCTTAAGCATAATGTAACGTTTTTCAAGATGGTTTGTTAGGAAAATGTTTTAATTTGATTATTTCCTATATCAGCACACAAAACTGATTATCGGTAGCCGCAATAAAACAAATGTCATTATCAGCTTTCACAAGCCCATTTGAGGAAACCCCTGGCCTCCTCTTCCTCCTCCTCCTCCTCCTCCTTTCTCTGAATGCTCTTTGTCTGAATTTGTTTCAAAAGTTCTCCCCAGTGAAGGAGAGGAGGTCCAGGCCGCTCTAATGATCTCTACTGTGTTACTCTCTCTGCAGCATTGTTGCAGGATAATAGTCCTGCATGTCTCAGATTCCTTTAAAAGAACTTCTTGTTATTTTACTTTTTTCAGAAATTACTTTTGAAATATTTTAAGCAAAAGTAAATTAATGGAGATAAAACATCTCATTCCAGTACTTGACATTCACTATATTTAACATAGATTGTTGTGAAGCTAGAGATAACTTGAAAAAATGTGTTCTATTTTCTTTTTAAGTTGAATTTTCATTGAGTCATAATTTGACATGAGAAAAAGCATGAATGTGCATCCAGGTATTGGTGGTTCCAGACTTCATAGTGTTTGCAGCATTGAAGCCACATCTGAGCTTTAGAAATCCTTTTAAGCTAAGTGCCTGTGACTGGATATAGTGATTTATGCAACAAATAAGCTTCAACTTTAGGAATAAGACCACCTCTGTCGACGAGGCTCCATCATTCTCCATCTAACAGCAATCACACGTCCCTCTTCCCTTGACTCATGCACTCAGTCCTCTCTGTCCTGTCAGTCTTTCCTATTTCCTTCTTTATTTTGATCATACTATCTTCTAGTGATGACTAAATTATGATTAGATTTAAGCATGTGCAGTGCTTTCATCTGTCTAGTGCGTTGTTTAATACTGCCCCCCCTAACCCCTCTCAAACCGCAACCCCGACCCCCCAAACACACACAGCACAATGGCCATCTACCTCGACTCACTCAGCCACTATTGAAGAGCAGAGGGGCTGCTTGGTTCCCATGGAAACACTGCACGTGTATGTGTGTGTTTCAGTAAATGTCTCTCCCTCGCTGAGATTAAGTTGTACATGTGAAAAAACACAGAAGTAGGGGTTAATTTGTCTTACAAAGCATCTGCAACCTGTGTACTGCTGCATTATAAACCTTAATATGGAGTAGTAATAATAACAAGCCATACAGTATAACTTTTTACGATAGTCCTAAAAAAAAAAACTGGCACTCTTTGACAATTTAAACTGTTTTTTCTCAATATGATTATTTTTCCTTTTTATACTGCCCATTGAAATACCCCTTCTTAATGCATTTTCAATGAAAGTAATGGCTGATGAAATGTATTGCCCTTTTCTCTTAAATCCTACTTGGTGTTTCCATGAGTAAATGCAGTGGGGGATAGTATCATAACATCAAATACTTATCAGAGATTTTCCATTTGAAAAATAACTTGCACAAGTGAAGCCCTGCGTTAGCTTCAGATATACTTTATGCATTTATTTTACAGCTAACGTAGCCTCCTGCTTGCCTCACGAGGAGAGGGCTACAGAGGTCACTTCCTTCATTCATCACCCCCAGTTTATTTTCACTTGTAATCTGGCTGAATTGACTTTGTGCAGTTGATGTAATTTCACACATATACAAAAAACATCTAAACAGGCTGCAAAACTCCCAGATCGCCAAAACAGGTGAATTAATGGACAAAGGACGAAACCAAATGCATTAAAATAAACCAAGGATATTCCTCTTATCACAAGAAGGCAATAAACAAACCACTGCCATTCAACAAAGACAACTTTCAGATTGACTGACTGTTAGGCTTGTAAACTAACCTGATGATATTGGTTTGGAAATGTTATTATGAAAATGTGTGTGTGTGTGTGTGTGTGTGTGTGTGTGTGTGTGTGTGTGTGGTCTATCTGTGGTCATCTTGTGTCTCTTTGCTGATTTAAATCCCTAATTAATGTTT